TGCTTCAGAAGTACAGAAACAAGGGGTTGCATAAGCATCATCGTCATGGTCTATTACTTCTTTTTGCTTCTTGGAAGTCGACTGTGATGTGGAAGGTTCATCAGAAACGCATCCCCAGCCATTGGACCGCTACAATTTGTTGTCGTACCTTTCCCACCGTTCTTGCATGTTTGACTGTCGACAGCACTGGTTTTGTTGTTGCAACTGATCACGTTGGTATTCCCACCATTTACTTTCACAATAGCATCATGACATCAACATAACAGAATAAGGCAGTACAAAGATGGGGAAAGAAACCACAAATAGTGAAGGAATAATGTGTTCCTTTCAAGATCAGGCAAAGTCTGTCGCCCACTATTAACTTAAATTTTGGTAATATATATATATAGCAATATTAAATATTGTGGAAATAATTCTATAAGTGGGCATAATGCATTGTTTAATTATTATTATTATTTATTAAGATTAAATACTCTACATATTTTAGATTTTGAAAAAGGCAGCTGATGTGATCGAAAACAATTTCAAATATATTGTATTTTACGTTCAGACCGTTTGTTTAATAGAACTGTGCTGCCTGCTTTATGCGTATTTACAAAATCCTGATGGACGAGAGAGGGACTGGTATGATACAATACAATTCACTGCATTTCTCAGCCAAATTATCTTCTATATGATGTCTTTCATACTACCTCCATGTTTCAATTTGGAAAAGGTTAGAAATTTATGTGTTTTTGAAGTAATATAAATTAATTGCAAGAGTATGAGAATACAAATAAATATATAAATGTTAATACATAAATAATAAATAAAGGAATCAACAAATAAATGTATTAATATGTGTAAATACAAATATATTAGTCAACATATTAATATCACGAAGCTCAATCTTCTTTTGGATTACTGATTCCGGCGCTAGATCATATTTTGGCATTCTGACTGCACTCGTCCTACGCTGAGTTCTATGCTAGTCTGCTGCTTCATCCTCGTCGAATCCACGACGATGATCGAATGAAATGCTTTCGAGCGTCTTATTATGTACTGTCGTTTGATATATGCCTCGACATGATAAGATATACTAATCTCCTTCGCGTAGCGTTTATGGAAGTTCGTCATTCCATCGCAAACAATCATATACGGAATTACTTTCAATTTGCATTTCATATTTCTCTCCGTCTAGATTGCTACTAACTTGTTCAGGACTAGTGATGCCAACCTGCCAGGATTGCCTCATGTTACTTCTTATCGTAAACCATGATATCCGGTCGATTAGCACAAATCTTCACAGGTATTCTAACGTGCGTACCAAACCCTATCTCCAGTTTCTATTCCTGACTATTTCCTAAACGGAGTGGATTCGTGTGCGTGGGAATTTTTTCACACCATACTTATTACAGGGCTTTGTTGAAGTTATTTAAGCTTATCTTCTTTTCAATATTTGCCTTCCACTGCGATGGTTCATTCTTTCGACTTGTCATCTCTTCATTCAACCACTGACTTGAGGGATTCAGTCGTTGTTTGGCTCACAGTTTCAACTACAAGCAGGATTTGCTGCACTGGTACGAGCTACTTCTTCTTTATCTCCAGATCAACTGCTCGAATGGCGTATTTGCTTCTTAGTAAGTGTCTATGTTTTGACATGCTTCGCTAAGAACCGTTTCTGCGAGTATGGATCACCTGCAGTGATAGTGATCGCATCATTCATTTTTTTCAGTTTTTAAAGGCTAAAAGCACACACGAACTTCTCGCAATATGGGGACAAACACTAAAGTCATTTCTCTTTTGACATCTCTCCCGAAAGAGTCAAGCACCATCTTCTGTACTTAGCCCGGTCATCTGCTCTACGGAACTTCGATTTCTCAAATGAGTGCTTCGAGCGTAATCATCCTGCTGGTTCGTGGTTCTAGTGCACTACAGTGATTTCTCAAATCCTTCATGGAGCTTTTTGAAACTTTATCCTTTTTTCATTGTTTTCTATTTTGATTCTAGAGACTTTCAATTTTTCCAATAGTAGTCTTCTCTTTCTCTCTATTCATCTGATGTATTTTCCTCTCCTTCACTTTTTTCGCGTTTCGTTTGCATTTCTTTGAAAAATAATACAGCGAGGGATTGCGGAGTATTGCGGAGTATTATCACTGTGACTCATTACTTCTTCTCGCTTCTTGAAAATTGTCTGTGAAGCACGTTCCGAGCCAAAATCGAACCATAAATAATAAATATGTAATTAACCGTAATATATAAATGTGGATACAAATGCAAATATAAAAATAGTAGGTATGATTGATTGTTGAATTTGTCCATCGGATCTACTACCATTTCCACCGCTGTGATGTTCTTGACTACAGATTAACATTGTTTTTCTAAATGCAACTGATCACTCTGATACTGTCGCCATTTACTTCCGTAGTAGCGTCCATAATGTCTCCATAACTGATAAATGTAGAACAAATATAGATATACAAATCAGAAATAATAAAGAAATATGTGTTACTAAGCAATATTAGGCAAAATCTACCGTCCGCGACACTTCAAACTCAAGCTGGGTAATGGAATCATGAATATAAATAAATATGAATACAAATGTGATTATAAATCAAAATATAAGAAAAATTTCATTTTTATTTTTTTGTTCCTAAAATGCTTAAATTCACTCACCAATCTTAACCAAATAATAGTACTTACCTACCAATATTTGAAGCTTTGATATCTTCTAAGCAAAAATGAAATTTTCGTCTTTAGAATACTTAGGAAAATTGGAACTAACACGTAGAAAATTATAAATTATTAAATCGTTATAGCTAAAAAATAGTTGAGTTGGTTATAAGGTTCCTCGACACAAAATTAACTTTCTTAGCAACTTCCGGGATAAAGCTTGCAAAACCTAATAAACTTGATCAAAATTTTCATCTGATTTCAATATCAACAATGTTGAAAACATCATATCTTAGAAAAAAATTTTAACCAAATAATTTAACATAGAAAGCATAAAAAGTCCATGACAAGTTCACTGCACAAATAAGTTTTCACTTGATCATTTACTATTGCTAAAAAATATCGAATATTTTTCGTCTCTCACAATCAATTGTATATATTTTTAAGAACAAAAATATAGCCGAAATATGTCCAGAAATGTTTGAAAAACAAATGCGTAGGACTTCCAACGTTATGCTCAGCGTTAGTTTATTCTTATCACTTATTATTTTATTTTTGACCATTCAACATAACTGGACAAAGTAACATGGCTTCTTCTTATATGTTCAGCTCAGTCATTTACTAATCTTTAATTAGCGCATTTTCGATTCCTCATTAAATTGTAAGAAAAACTATAAGGTGAGTTATAAGGTTAGCCCAAATATTCTAGCTCTTATAGAGCTTACCTTTTCACAAAGCTTAAATTGTTTGATTGCAGTCGAAGGTTTTGCTATTTATGTACCACCTTGAAAGAATGCCAATCACTTTCACTTCTGGTGGATTTTTTGTAGTCAGACGATCACTTCTCCTGACGGTAAGTGAACTTCTACATTTTAAACTTTCAACTCTACAGAAACGAAGCACATGATGCAATAGCAAAATTAGTCTTAATAGACAACGCTGAAAGTAGAATTGAACTTGTTTTAAGCTGATTTCGTTCACGTTAACATACGTCCTTCTGATGCTCCAACTTGGACAAACACCTGGATGTATGAGTAACCTGTTTCAGAAGCTACTTGCTAACACGACAAATATCGCTCTAGTCAAAATGAATGATACTATTGTTTTTTAAACTGTACGTCTAACTCCCTAAGAACAATCCCACTTAGAAAAAAGTACAGTACACCTACATGATAAGCACTGAGATTCTAGAAATCGACAGCCCCTTTTCGGTTTACTAAACCTTGACTACTTCACCTCACGAAATTTACTCCTGCTCTGATCTTTGCCAGCTTATAAGCTTTGTATTTTCCAAATTCATTACAAATATCCGAGAACAATAAATCTTACGCATGCCATATCTTAACCAATACATGTACTGCGAAACTAAACTAAATCCATTAAATACTGAACAGTTAATGATGTTGATAGCCGTGCTTTGAAACTTCCCACTAAGCTTCGTTACACAGAGTATGCCTTGTCATGATTTTAGCTGCTAACGTCACCATCAAATGTTTCATATGCCATAAAACACCGAATATTTACATCTATGCAGAACAATCTGTGATATGCTACGATTTATAAAACTAAATTACAATTCAGTTACATAAATCAGATGTATTTCAAATAGATTACGGGAAGGTAGGACACTTCTTGAAGTACTTATGATACGAATACATGACACAAGAACACAGGAAATATTGTTCAGCTCGATACAATGATTTTATATAATGTATTGGAGAGCAATTACATGTAGATGAGTTTCCATCAGCTCACAGATAATCTCAATTTACATTCACTATGAAAAACCAATGCTTTTCACATCCAAATGTACTTTAGATATTTTTTACTATAATCGTTCAAAAATTAGTATGCAAATCAACTAAAGGACAGCAAATCATTTGATTTTTTGACAAAAAAATTGTGTCTATGATGGCTAACAATAATTAACTGAAAAGCATCCACTTACAGCTGATATTGAAAACATGTTGTAATATTTCGAAAAAACATAGACAAACAATTGATTCCTGAAATCGAAAGTAAAATTGCTAGGAGAATGATTTGACAGAGTAAAAATTAGCTTCTGAAGTAAGGAAATGGAGCTACAAAAAGAGTGATTTTACAAGAATTTCTACATCAATAAAAACACTTTTTCTTTAAATCCTTAGCAGTTGCAACTATCACTGGGTCTTGTTGTTTCCCGATGATCGAGTCGAATTTGATCTGGGAACTCTGGAAAATTCTGAACATCTAGTGCTTCACGTTTCAAAGCATCACGAGCGATTTCAATAAATGCTTGCTCCACATTTACAGCTTCTTTTGCTGATACCTGAATCACGATGCAAAAATACTAACAAGAACAGCTAAAAAAATAAAAAAAACAATACTAAAAGGCAACTAACACTTTTTAATTTCTATAATCACAGTCAAGGAAATAATAATGAAACGAACATGTTCTCCATCTTTAAAAAAATAGCAAACCTCATAATATTTGATACTGTTCTTTGTTTGACACCATGCTTGTGCCCTTTTAGTACTGACAGCACGCCTACTTTCAAGATCAACCTTGTTTCCCAATAAAACGAAAGGAAAATTTTCTGGATCACGTGGACTACAATACACGATATATTATTCCCAACAAAAGCATAAAATTTAATGATATACAGATTACATGAGAGGTTACACTATCCAGGCTTTTTTTTGCTAAGAAAATATTTTTGATAATCAAAAATTTCATTATCTGCATAAACCGAAGTTTAGGATACTGTGCATCACAGAATACATTTTTAGAAGAAGTGTTACACTGCTTCATATTTCAAGCTATAAAACTCTCAAACAAGTCACAACTTCAACATGACCTTTTTTATCTCTCAGAACTTCACATCACCAGTATATGAAAATGCAGTTGACAGTCACATCAAAAATATTTGGTAATATTATTGATGGATGCCAAGAACATTCCAGACAAAATATAATTAGATACAACATGAACGACTCTCAATAAACAACCTTGCTTGGATTAAAAATTCGTCTCTCCACGATTCAAGACTTCTAAACGAGCTAGCATTGGTAATATCGTACGTAAGTACACAACAATCCGCCCCTCGATAAAATGCAACACCCAAGGACTGGAACCGTTCTTGGCCAGCTGTATCCCAAATCTCAAAATATTAACTCTTATTGCTGTTTTCATGACCACTAAAATCTGAGTACGGCAATGCAAACTCTGATAATGGTAATTCCAAATATGTTAGTGGCCAAAATGAATATAAAAGGACACTAAATGTAAATGACATTGATGATGCAATGTTGAAGAATTTCCCCCTTAAATTTCTGATATACTGGGCTATGGCCCATACATTTCAAATAAAAAAACAGATTCTTATCAAACATTAGACGCAAAGATAAATTAAAAGAGTCAATTTAATGGAGTCACCGAAAAATGCGTGTTAAGATTATGATTAGTGTGATAATCTCCACAGATCATGTATTTTTGAGGAATAAAAACTGACGAAATAATTTAACCTGCATGGTGACGGTCCGATCACCAACTGTTATGTCCTTTGTTAAAAAATCAGCACCAATAGTCGCTTTGTACTGATTGCTGAACTTTTTGTTCACATACTGATTCATAAGTGATGTCTTTCCAACACCGGAATCGCCCAGTATAATCACTTTCAGAAGTGCTTTCTTGCGGCCACCACCAGCTGCTGCCATCATACTGAAAGCAACAAAAAAGTATACATGTAAGTAATACAAATATATACTTTAAATGGCGTCAACATAAAGCTTCAGAAACCCGATGCATATCAATTTGTAAAGGTCACACTCAAATCTCTTACAGCATAAAAATACGAATAACATTTATGAAAATCACTTGGATATTAACATTACAACATGAGTTTCAGCAGAAAAAAAAGGTGGATGCTGAATAATAATTCAAAAATACCAAACCACGGGTGACAGTACACCTTTTGTTTCTGGACAAAAAATAAATGAATAAAAAGGAATCCAAATTTAAGAAAATTGGAAGAACATATGAACAGAAATAACCTTTCGCAGTGAGTCACACTCTAATAGCCGGTTTTAAAGTACGATTCCTAATTCTTTAATTAAACAACATCCAAACATAACCTATGAAAGACTACTGATGGCTACTTTTTTTACTTGAATAACGCTATCCTTGATCTTTACATAACAAAAATCTAAAATTTATCACGCAGTACTCTCCGAAAAACGACTCATAACACATTATCGTTATGAGGACTACATAAACATACTAAAACATTCTAAATTAATCCACAATAAGTGAAAGTACTGCATTCCCTATCAATTATTGAAAACTGCTGCTTTCAATCAATGTGTTTCACAAGAGAAATAAATAAATTATGCATATGAAAAGTGAACAACCATACCGTATATGCGAGCTCAGAATTACAATGAAACCTGCTTTTTGAATCGATGATTATGAGCAGCATTTCCTTCATTATGAAGTAGTTCCACATCTAAAATTACCACAATAAATAATAAACACTTAGATCTACATAACGAATATACGGATTTTTATAAAAACGTAATTCAATAAGTGTTCTGGATATAAATAAATCCTGAGGAGAAACAGAATCCGTAAAATAGCATACTGATTCTCATCAGTGAAAAATAAATTAGTACTGAAGTTGTAAGAAGAACCTATATATTTCTAGCCCAAGCTCTACAAATATGCTACTAGACATATTATATCAAAAAATACTTCCTGATAATAAAATGGATAATCATGGCATGAAAATAAAAATTCAAGGTGCAAAAGACCACTATCTTAAAATTACTAATAACAATCGATCGTACCATATTGTACAGCACTAATAAAAGCGCAAAAATAAATCAAAATGCAGTGATAAAAAATTAAAAAAATAAATCAAAATGCAACCCATTTTTTATTTTGAAAATGAAATGGGGAACTCATTCGCTTTTAACACTGAATGAATTCATTCTATCACTTCGTCTTAACTTTTAAAGACACTTTCTTACTAGTATATGTAAAATTCTCAGTTCATATGATTTAAACAACTTGCCACTTTTTACATTATTCTTATCATTAGTAATTAATACATGTTAGTAGATCATTCCTTATCCAAGAGTGAAAATTGCGAGATGCGCTCATCCAAAACTTGATAAAGAACTGGTGATAAATGCTAGATGGATTGAATAAGCTTTCTGTAAACAATGCAATAAAACTTCAAAGTTGATTATTTGGGAGTCTGTAAAGGATTTCATTTCCAAATCCAATTCTATATGTTTAGCTCCAGTATACACATGATTCTAACTATATTCTATCAAACTTAGCTCCATACTTCTAAAACCTGAAATCTCGATTCATTTTCAAACGTGGAACTAGAAGCAACATGTGACAGGGACTCCACATAGCATACATAAGGCAAGTCACTAATCACGCATATCATTCAATTACATGTAGACTGAACAGAAAACTTCCGCTTCAGGACTTCTATACATCACAGTGAACACTGGTTTTTATTAAAAGATCTGCTTCCAAAAAAAGCTCCACAACGACCGTGACATTTTCAAGTTGAAATGGAATGCGTCAGATAAAATGAACTAAGTAATATCCAAACTCTACATCCAAAATCGAAGTGGGAGAAAGTGAAGCAAGTTCACAGGACTCAAATTTGCAAGTGCGTAGATATAAAGGTGCGTACTTCTGAAGCAGCATATAACTGTTCACTGGCATTTAGACAAACCCAAGAACAGAATACTGCCCAAAGAGACTTATCGACCAATCGCATTTCTCATTATCCTAGGATAGCTTGCTCCTGGCAATTTGACAACAGAAAAAACTACCAAACCAAGCAAACTGAATCACAGCCACCATTGTGCATGTTTCCCCTTTAAGCCAAACTTTTTAACCAATTCAATAATACATTGTAATCCGTTATTCAAAGTGAAACACGATATTTCAAATGCAGCGCAAAAACAATTGCCTGCCTAACCCACACCAGTCGTAAAACTTCAGAGACATATTAATTCAAAGTAACTTTGTAGAAAATTAAAATTGTTGTAGATTATTACAATAATAACAATATGCATTGTTCATATATCGCAAGCAAGCCACTATAAATTATATTGAAAAAAAATAGTAGAGATGCCTTGTATATTTGATCATAAGCAAGAAAAAAAATGAATTAAGTTGGAAGGTATCAGTAGATAACAAAATTAGCAGTTATCAGTTGAAAGTTATATTATACGTAGAATAGTACCAATAATTATTAAAGAAGATTTAAAATTAAAACTTGTCAAGATGGTAGTAGTTATCAAGATAATTCTCAAATTTATTTACATTCAAATTTATTTACATTCTGTAAATAAATTTGAGAACAGATTGTAATAAAAATAGTAGCAGCGCGGTATGAGATTAATGAGCAAAATTCAGCAGAACTGAAATAGTGAACAATAAAATATTGATATATGTAGTGTTCAGAATGGTAATAAACATCTAGATAATCGATTCTCTTGCACTGTGGTTGTAAGAAGTTCAGTTTATAAAATATTTAAATATTGTAATCGAACTTATTTTTTGATTCACTAAAGAAAAATCTAAGATTAATCAGGATGAATTAAACAGGCAATGTAATTTTAAATT